CCATGAAATTCCGAGCTTCCAAAATTCATCACATATTCTCTTGAGAAACGGCAACTGTATGACATTTGAAAACATTGCAAAAAACGGTAGCTATGTGTAGAGACTGATACCATCACATATTTCAAAGGAGGCAACTGCGCAAAATCTACGATAGCCGACCAACCCTCAGACGTTCATTTACAGCACCAAAGGACCACATGTTCGGCGGCCGCTTGAATTGCCTTGCCGTAAGATCAGCCGATAGTTACCGACTGTAGCGGTGTAGGCTCAATTTTACTAGCGCTCGGCCGTACCTGCCTATGTTCGATTAGCCGTCACAACATCTTCCTCATTGATCATTGATGTAGAGATTTCTACGAATCTCTCGACATCAAACCCCAATCTTGTCGACCACACAGTATTCGGAGCAAACTGCAACAGTGATCAACATATTAGAACACAAAATGTCACTTATTATTTTCAATTCCATAGCGTGTTAAAGTTAATCCTTTATTGTAGTACAACCCTTAAACGTTTTGAACTTCAAAATATAGCAAATAATAATCATGTTTCGCGTGAACTATCAAATTACAACAAAACTTGAACAAGTTAATTAGAAAGCCTCCAACATTTCTTTTGACATTTGTTAACATATTTAGGTACGTCAAGAAATAATGAAAACTTTTAACACAAATCGAACAATTTAAAAAAAATCGCTTAAATAATTTCACATTATCTTTTCTCTACACTTTAATGATACGACAATATCGTAAGTAGGACAGCAAATTTCATTACGGTATTTAACATAAAAACGGGATCATCAATGCAGAATGCATTATAGTCTCTCACAAATGTAATAATCCTCATATTATTCGAAGATTGTATGTGGGCAAAAATGGGGACTTTATCCCACTTCTGATGTAGGAAGGGTAATTGAGTATAGTACAGAGACTAATTTTGTAGTTAGGAATAATAATTAATTCGTTTACACGAATTAATTATCCAACGAGTCGAGGATAAACTAGTAAGGGAATACGACAAGCGCACCGTTCCACGTCAGAGCCAAGACTGTCTTAAGGGCGGCCGCTCCGTCCGTTTTATACAAGCAGGACGGGTGGCAACGCAGGTGCAATGCCGCAGGTGTGCGGTACACGTGTCGTTTACAAGAATTCTGTCTAGCTAGACCGACGCCACCGCACCTACAACGGTGCAGGTGCCGTCATATATACAATATTTTTTAACGCTTTCTATTTTGATTACTGCTGCACCGCCTCTCGTTTGTGTATCTCTGTTTAGCCTAATGGTTAACTAGGAGAAAATGCCCTATGGCATTAAGTCCGCCATTTATACAACTTTGTGCATGAAAGATTAAATAAATAAAAAAAAATAATGAATATTATAATAATAAATAATGATTTAATAATAATGAATAATAAAACACATTTTTGCGTCCTCTGTTCTTATTTGCTATACCCGACAGGGTCCATATTATTGTGATAATTTAATATTTAATAATTTGTACATTGTGTAATGCAAATAAATGTTGAGTATCAAAAATTTTAGTCTTTATCATTTTATTAACTTGAATAATTTAATCCCTTCTTTAGTCTCTTTTTATATTATCTTAGTGCACATTTAAAGAATACAATATTTGTTAACTTGTTTAAATTAGTACGATTTTTTGTGTGTAGATGGCGTTGAGCGATATATAGATTGCGGTATAAAGATGTCATTTGATTTACCATAAGTGTGAATTGTAATTTTTTGTATGCTAATAAACCAGATCAAGTATAAAGCTTGTGAGCACCTCTGGTTTTTTTTTTGGTATACAGTCCATACCCCAGTTGTTCATGGTCATTAGAGCCGGACGTGGTTCATATCCGAACAGGGACAGGGAGGGATATCGAAACAGAACAATTTAGGAACGAAATTAGACCTTAAAGTTACCACCCTCATACCTCGTATTCCGTTGAAGTGATACCTGGCACAGTCTGGTTACACTGTGAGGCAGTAATATACACAGGAATCAGACGCGAGAATACGGCGGGAGGAAAGGAGATAGTGAACCACATTAGCAAACGGAAGCAGCCATATAAAAAGTGTGTAGCAGTTTATACAGACGGCAATTGCGACCTTATTTCCGTAAGGAAAGTGCGGTGCATAAGTGAGTGGTAATCATCAAAAAAAACTGTGAGTACATTTTAAAATTCATTATTGTGGAAAAGTGAACCTTATATACCAAGCAAGATTAAATTTAAACTTTTAAAGTATTTCATTTATTTTGTCGAAATCTGAACCTTATTTATAAGAAAAATTAAACAGAAAAATTACTAGTGATTATAAAGACTTTATAACTTAGAAAAATAATTCGAATGTAAATTGTAGACTTAGTTAATTTTAAGTGAATTTTGGTTAAGACGGGGAACCTATGCCCGATTTTTTTTCTCAGATTTAAGTTGTTAAAATACTTGTAAAAATTTTAGAATCATTTCGGACTTGTAATTTATTTCAGTTGGATATGAGTTGTAAAAACAGTTAATTTAAGAAAATTATTCTAATATGAACTTTTATTTTCTAAATTATTGTTACTTCTTTTATCAAAGATGTCTTCTTTACAAGCACTTATTAAGATTCAAGAAGATATTTATAATAGATTGTCTAAGGCGAAAAGTAACTTTCAGAAATCGCCCAAAGATAGGATTACTAAACAATATGTTGAAACTAGATTGGAGAATATACAAGAATTGTGGTCTCAGTTTACGTCTACGCATATTCTTATTATAAAAGATGATTCTAAAGATTTAAACTCCACTTCATATGTTAGGAATGATGTGTACGATAATACCGAGACTGTTTATTTAGACTTAAAGTGCGAACTAAAGACTGTTTTATCTAGTTTAGAAGGCGATATCCATCAACAATCTAACAAGTCAATTTCAAGTGAGTTAGGGATTAGCAATATGGATATTAAATCACCTAAGATAGTTGTTCATACCTTTTCGGGAAAGTACACTGAATGGCCGACATTTAGAGATCTATTTATTTCTTTAATTGACAAAAATATTTCGCTTGCTAAAGTACAGAAACTTCATTATTTAAAAAGTTATCTGACGGGGGAAGCCGAGCAATTGCTGAGGCATATTCCTATATCGGAATGCAATTATGACAAATGTTGGTGTCAGCTTGAAACAGGGTACAACAACAAAAAGTATTTGTCACATTGTATATTAAAAAGATTATTTAGTCAAAAGAATATTTAAACCGAGTCATCTGAAGCGCTTAAGAAGTTGATGGATACTACCTCTGATTGTTTGGGTGCCTCATCAAACTTGGGCATTGACATAAGTTCGTGGGACATAATTATAATTCATATCCTTACACTAAAATTAGATTCTAATACTAGAAAAGATTAGTGTAGTAAGATAAATGTCACTAGCAATGTCGAGTCTGATAAGTTGCCTACATTTGCACAATTTAAAGAATTCTTGACGGGTCGATATAGAGCTTTTAAATTTTTAGAACCTGATTCAACTCACAACGTAACTAAAAATAATTTTAATAGAAGTAAATCTTTACATGTTATGAATACTATTATATCGTGTCAATTTTGCAAGGAAGAACATAAATTAGGCTTTTGTAAACAATTTTCGAAACAAGATGTTGACACTCGGCGTAAGTTTGTTCAGGTCAATAATTTGTGTTTTAATTGCTTGGGCCAGAATCACTCTGCCAGGTATTGCCGCAATGCAATAACATGTAGAATTTGCAAACGTAGACATCATTCTTTGTTGCACCCAAAAAACACAGATGAGTCTGTTCATCATACAGAGGTTCAAGCGCATGATGATACTAATGCAGAACTATCATATGATGCAGTTGAAGAACAAGATGATATGGTTGCCTGTTTTTCTAAAGGGCACGCTAGCCAAGTGTTATTAGCTACAGCTCTGGTCACAACAGTGTTTAAAAACGGAGCTGAGTTCACAATTCGGGCGCTACTAGATCAGGGCTCTCAAGCTTCTTTCGTGACTAAAAGGATAGTGCAATATTTAGGTTTAAAGAAACAACCTACCAAGGGAATTATTTCCGGAGTTGGTGGTGATAATAGTTTAATATCAAAATCAACTGTTTACATAAAAATTCATTCAAAATATGATCCGACTGTTGACTTTGTAGTTAAGGCTTACGTCTTAAAGTCAATTACATCTCTTCTTACTGCAAGAAAAATAACTGAATTAAAATGGGTGGAAATAAACAATATAAAACTAGCAGATTCACAATATCATATACCTCATAAAGTCGATATGCTATTGGGAGCAGAGATTTATTCTAAAATACTACAAGATGGGGTAAAAAGGGATCCTGGGGGTACAGTTATAGCACAAAAAACAAGTTTAGGTTGGATTCTGTCAGGAGCAATTCGATCAAGTGATGTTGGAACGTCGCATCTTAAAATTTTGCATGTTCACATGAATGAAGATCAGGCGTTAAGAAAATTTTGGGAATTGGAAGCAGAGCCAAATAATAATAAAAAAATACTCACTAAAGAAGAATCTTGGTGTGAAGATCTGTTTCGTCAAAATACAATAAGAAATGCAGATGGTAGATAAGTAGTTCGTTTACCTTTTCGAAACGACGATCTAAATTGTAAATATGGTCAGTCGAGGGATATTGCACTGCTACGATTTAAGTCTTTGGAGGCGAAATTGAATAAAAATATAAAATTAAAAAATGAGTATGTAAACGTAATTAATGAATATATTGAACTCGGACACATGGAAAAGGTAGATCAATCCCAATTGAAAAATAAGATGGCTGTATACTTGCCACATCATGCCGCTGTGCGTAATGATAAGGACACCACAAGAGTTCGAGTTGTATTCGATACTTCATGCAAGGGAAAGAATTGAGTGTACCTTAATGACGATTTATTGATAGGACCTCCTCTTCGATTTGAATTAAGGCACGTCTTGATGCGATGGAGAAGGCATCCCATTTGTTTGGTTGCGGATGTCGTAAAGATGTATAGGCAAGTAAGAGTGGCTAATGAAGACGCAGACTTCCAAAGATTATTGAGGAGAGAAGACGTTAATTCTAGTATACAGCATTACAAATTACTTACAGTTACATTTGGTACGGCATCAGCTCCATACTTAGCAGTAAAGGCAATGCAACAAGTAGCTCATGATGAAGGTGACGAATTCCCACTTGCAGCTGAAAGAATCATGACTGATTATTACATGGATGATCTCATGACAGGGTGTGAAAATGTGGATACAGGTCTAAAAATTTACAATGAAATAAATTCTCTTTTGGCGAAAGGCGGTTTTCAGTTGCAAAAATGGTCAAGCAATAGCGATGATCTGCTAAAAATAATAGAAAAGGATTACTTGGATAATGATAGGAGTGAAACATTTAATATTAAACAAGAGGAAATAATTAAAACACTGGGACTTACCTGGAACCGATGCGTTGACTCTTTCCAGTACGCAGTGAAACTTCTTCCTTTGACTGAACCTGTAACAAAAAGAAAGGTTATTTCGGATATTTGTAGACTGTTTGATCCCTTGGGCTGGGTCGCTCCTTGCGTAATATTAGCAAAAATTGTTATTCAAAAGCTCTGGATTGCAGGAGTTGGATGGGATGACGTAGTACCAGTAAACATAAAAGATGAATGGATGACTTACCGAAACGACTTACTCAGGTTAACTAAATGTTCTGTACCTAGGTGGATGGGAATGAAAAAATCTGATAAAAAAATTGACTTACATGGCTTCTGTGACGCGTCAAAACAAGCATATGCGGCCGTCGTGTATGTCAGAATAGTGGACTCTAAAGACAAGATACATGTTTATTTAGTAACCGCAAAGACAAGGGTCGCTCCTATCAAAACAATCTCAGTTCCGAGACTAGAATTATGTGGCGCAGTCTTGCTAGCAAAATTAATAATTGAAATTGCAGAAGTACTAAAGATAGATAAAACTAACCTTTTTGCTTGGACTGACTCTGAAATAGTGTTAGCGTGGATAAACAATCACCCGAGCAGATGGAAAACTTTCATTGCAAACAGAGTTTCCGAAATTTTAAGCATAATAGAGCCACAGCAATGGGGTCATGTTCAATCTAAGCAAAATCCAGCTTACTGTGCCTCTAGAGGTATTTCTCCATCCGAACTTCTGCAAACAAGGTTATGGTTTCGTGGTACAGATTTCTTATATCAGTCAAAAGTGAAACCAGTAAAACCAAAAAATATATCAACTTCATTAGAGCAAGTACAGGTATATAATACAGTAACAGAATGTAATAATGAAAACGAAGAAAATGAATTTATTTTGCAGAATTGGTCAATACTAACCAAACTTATTAGAGTTGTAGCATATTGTAGGCAATTTTTAGAATTAAGGAAAATAAAGGCAAATAGAAATATAAAAAAATACTTAACCGCTCTGGAACTGAAACAAGCACTGAATACTTGCATAAGGATTTGTCAAAATAAAAAATTTAAGAAAGAAATTCATAAATTGAAATTAAAAGAATATATTACTCATGGTCCAATAAAACCAATCAACCCATTTTTGGACGATGAAGGTATATTAAGAGTGGGGGGAAGGTTAGAAAACGCCGAAATCCTTTGGGACAGAATGCATCCTATTATATTACCAAAGTCCTCAAGTCTTACTAACCTGATAATTGCCGACGCTCACTATAGAACACTTCACGGAGGCCCACAACTAATATTGAATTTTTTAAGGTCCTCATATTATATAATAGGAGTCAAACAATTAGTTAAGGCTTTTTATCGTAAGTGTATAACGTGTATTAGATTTGTAGCTGCAACAAAAACTCAACTGATGGGTCAACTACCTGCCATAAGAGTCACCCCTACTAGACCCTTTAAACGAAGTGGAGTAGATTACGCAGGCCCTATCAGTCTAAGGACCTCAAAGGGACGTGGAAACCATGCGTACAAGGGATATATTTGCTTGTTTGTATGCATGGTTACTCGTGCTGTACACCTTGAAGTTGTCAGCGATCTCTCCACTCAAGGTTTTCTTGCAGCCTTTAAACGATTCGTCGCACGACGTGGTAATTGCAGTGAACTGTGGAGTGATAATGGGACCAATTTTGTGGGAGCTTCAAGGGATTTACAGAAACTATTTAAATCTGAGCAGTCTAGAATCGCCAAGGATATAGCCGAAGCTTTAGCCAACAACGGAACCAGTTGGCATTTTATTCCACCACATACATCTAACTTTGGGTGACTTTGGGAAGCTGGCATTAAGTCGTGTAAGCATCATTTAAAAAGAATTATTGGACAGTCAACTTTAACTTTTGAAAAAATGTCAACGCTACTGAGTCAAATTGAAGCTTGTCTAAACTCACGGCCACTTTCAAGATATAATGATGACAATGAAACAGTAGAAGCTTCGACACCAGGTCATTTTCTAATTGGTGAGCCAATTTTAACAGCCCCTGATTACAATTTCGATTCATCTAACATTACGTATTTGAAAAGATGGCAACAGGTTCAAAAAATGACCCAGGACTTTTGGAAACGCTGGTCCCAGGAATATTTATCTCATTGCCTGAAACGATATAAATGGACAAACCAAACCGCTGAACCCAATATAGGCGATATTGTTATTGTAAAGGAGGACGATCTGCCTCCCTGTCGTTGGCTTCTTGGTAGTGTGATTCAAAAACATCCGGGCCCAGACAATCTTACACGAGTAGTCACATTACGTACAAAGGCCTCTGTGATTAAAAGACCTACGTCTAAACGGTGTATTTTACCTTTAATGTAAAATGAAATTTGTGTGTTACTGTAATATTTATAAGTTGTATCTATATATTTAACGTTGATTTTTAGGTTCTTAGACTTTTTTAAATGATGTTAGGTTTTAGGTTTTTAAATGATGTTAGTTATAAAATAAGATTTATTTATATATTAATAAGTGAATGTTTTGTCATGATATGTAGTAAAATAAAGGACATTTGGTCAATATGTCCTTGGGGGGCGGTATGTTAACTTGTTTAAATTAGTACGATTTTTTGTGTTTAGATGGCGTTGAGCGATATATAGATTGCGGTATAAAGATGTCATTTGATTTACCATAAGCGTGAATTGTAATTTTTTTTTGTTTGCTAATAAACCAGATCAAGTATAAAGCTTGTGAGCACCTCTGGTTTTTTTTTGATATACAGTCCATACCCTAGTTGTTCAATATTCCTGGTGTTGAAATCATCCATGTACGTTTCATGATGAAATTAGTCCTTATAAGTACAAACATATTTATATTATTACTGTTTAAATTGGAACAGTGGTATAGTTTATAAAATACAATCAACAGCCTTATGAAATAAAACTTCATAACACATACCTACTGTGACACGCCTGATAATTATTATTAATAAATAATAATTAAATTCAATGTAAAGGTATTTAAAAATGTTATAAGAATTATATATTAAACAATTAAAATATAATTCTCAAGTATAAATTTCAAATATGTTCATTTGGAAATGGCTGGCATCAAAAAAGTAGTTATCGGCGATTAAGGCTAAGTTGTAATGGAAGTTTCTTCATTATTAATTTAAATTAAAATTTTATTGGAGTTAAATTGTACCTATGTACTGTTGTACAATTAACGTAAAGTCTCTTTTTTATGCATGTGGTGCCCTCCTATAAGTAATGGGACATTTAGTTTTAATAATTGTGATGTCATTCCATATGTATGTAACAGTGTACTCATTGTTGTGAGAGCCTAATAAAATAAATAAATAAATAAAATAAATTATAGTATAGTTAACGCATAAATTGTCTCTAAAAATCTCAAAATTTATTAAAATTCTGTTTAAAATGTATTAAATCATATAAATACAAGTCGATTATATTGCAATAATAAAGATAAATAACAATTGTAATATAATATAAAAAATGCATCAAAATTGATAAAGGTGTTCTTGTAATGTTCCCTTATATGGGGGCGTTGCCGGAGACACATACCCAAGGTTGTACATATATATGGGGTGGTCGGCTGATCGACTGCTACTAGTAAGGTTGCACAATGACTAGTCCTATATTAGGGACTTATGAACGTAAGGTCCTTGGAACCAAAGCATTAGTATAGAAGGTCTCTACGATGCATAAGCATTATGATAGCAGAGTTATGACTTCAAGTCCCATATGAATAAGACATACAATAGTATGGTCTATGAAATAAAGCAAATATTTCATAGACCATACTATTAATAATTAATAAACGGCCCCCAGTCCCCGGCGGCCCCGCTATTCCTAGCTACGGTGGCGACCATGGTAACGGCGAGGCAGGGGGTGCTAAGAATCTCCGGTTGAGGTTCGGTTGCCACCTAAGAGGACTCGACCTGGCAACATACAACGCACGCACCCTGAGGACTGACGAGAAGATCGTGGAGCTGGAAGAAGAGATAGACAAGTTACGCTCGCATATTATAGGATTATCCGAAGTCCGAAGAGAGGGGGAGGACACGGTAATCCTCGAATCCGATAACTTGCTCTATCACCATGAGGGCCACTATCTGTCCCAAGGAGGTGTCGGATTTATCTTCCACAAGTCTCTCGTTAACAACGTTGTAAAGATTGAGATTGTGTCGACGAGGGTTGCGTACCTTATACTCAGAATCACCAAACGGTATTCGCTGAATGTCATACAGGTTTATGCACCAACCTCGGCACATCCCGATGAAGAGGTAGAGGAAATGTATGAGGATATCTCTAGAGCCATGCATTCTTCCAAAACCCACTATACGGTGTGACTTCAATGCAAAACTAGGCACAAGAGAGAACGGAGAGCTGAATGTAGGGAAATTCGGATATAGGGCAACGGAACCGAAAGGGCCAGAAGCTAGCTGACTTCATGGAGAAAGAGGGACTCTTTATGATGACCTCTTTCTTCCAGAAGCGGCCCCACAGGAAGTGGACCTTGTCGAGCCCCGACGGTTCGACAAAAAATGAGATTGACTTCATTACGACGACCAGACGACAACTTTTCAGTGATGTCAGTGATCGCGAGGGTGAAAACCGGCAGTGAGCACCGAATGGTGAGAGGCACACTGAACCTAAACGTTAAGTTGGAGAGGTCACGTCTAATGAACTCAACGCTCCGTCCCGCTCGTGCTCTAATCCAAAGTCCCGAAACCTTTCAGCTCGAGCTACGAAACCGTTTTCAGTGCCAAGAAGATTGCAATGCAGTGGACGATATGAATGACAAGTTCGTGGAAACTGTCCATGCGGTCGGAGCTAAGTTCTGTAAGACCCGCCGCAGAAGAACACAAAAACTCTCCGATCACACTCTTAATCTCGTGGCTGTTAGACGGGATATGAAGCTGCAGTTTTCAGTAGATTTGACAGCATACAGGCAACTGAACAGACAGATCTCCAAATGCATGCGGCGGGACTTACGCAAATTCAATGCTGCTCGTATTGAAGAAGCAATTGAGCGGAACCAGGGCTCCAAAGTCTTTGCTAGATCTGTCTGCCAGAAAGAGTCAACTGTCGAACCTGAAAACCGAGTGTGTCAGCGTCGTTTCCGAGACACCTGAGATTTTGAGTGAGATTGAGAGGTTCTATGGGCAGCTGTACACACCATGGTTGAAGCCTCACGTAAGTTTGAGTAACGATCCAAGAGCGAGTCTTATCTGACACTATTCTGAAGATATCCTAGACGTCAGTCTGAGCGAGATTAGAATGGCTCTCCAGCACCTTAAAAACGGCAAGGCCACAGGCGGGGATGGAATTACAGCGGAGCTTCTGAAAGCGGGTGGAAAACCGGTACTTGAAGTCCTTCAGAGGCTCTTTAATTCCATCCTCCATGGTGGCATTACACCAGAGGCGTGGAGCAGAAGTGCGGTGCGGTTTCTTCAAGAAAGGTGACAACGCTTTCTTTAAGAACTACAGACCGATTTCCCTTCTGAGCCGCGTCTAGGTGCTGTTTTCGAGAGTCATTACAAATCGTCACTTGACAACGACACGACAGACTTGATGACTTCCAGCCACCCGAACAAGCCGGTTTCCGAAAATGTTTTAGCACCATAGACCATAGAGAGGAGTACAATTTGCCACTATGTCTGGCGTATGTGGACTATGAGAAAGCCTTTGATTCCGTCGAAATTTGGGCGGTGCTGCAGTCCCTTCAGCGATGCCAAGTTGACTGTCGATATATCGAAGTGCTGAAGTGTTTGTACAGTAGGGCTACGATGGCTATCCGAGTACAGAACCAAAGTACGAAACCTATCCAATTGCAGAGAGGTGTAAGACAGGGTGACGTAATATCCCCTAAACTCTTCACCGCTGCATTGGAAGACGTTTTCAAGCTTCTGGACTTGAAAGGATTCGGTATTAACATCAATGGCAAGTACATCACTCACCTTCGATTTGCCGACGATATAGTTCTTATGGCAGAATCGCTGGAGGACCTAAGCACTATGCTTAATGACCTCAATAGTGTTTCCCAACGGATAGGTCTTAAAATGAACATGGACAAAACAAAGATCATGTTTAATGTCCATGTCACACCTATGCCGGGAGTTGTTGGGAGCACTAAGCTCGAAGTTGTTGACGAGTATATTTACCTGGGAAAAATAGTCCAACTAGGTAAGTCCAACTTCGACCGAGACGTCAATCGACGGATTCAACTCGGTTGGGCAGCGTTCGGGAAATTACGGCACATCTTCTCGTCAGGTATATCTCAAAACTTGAAAACGAGACTGTACAACCATTGCGTGTTGCCCGTGATGACATATGGAACTGAGACATGGTCCTTCACTGCTGGCCGTATGAGGAAGCTCAAGGTCGCTCAGCGAGCTATGGAGAGGGCTATACTCGGAGTTTCTCTGCGTGATAAACTTAGAAATGAGAATATCCGCATTAGAACCAGAGTGACCGACATAGCCCAACGGATTAGTAAGCTGAAGTGGCAATGGGCCGGCCATATAGCTCGAAGAACCGACAACCGATTGAGAAAAAAGTTTCTCGAGTGGCGGCCTCGTACCGGCGGACGAAGTTTAGGGCGTCCCTCCACTAGACGGAGTGACGACCTGGAAAGATATGCAGGATGTCGATGGATGCAGGTGTCCCAGGACCGTGCTTTGTGGCATTCCTTCGGGGAGGCCTATGTTCAGCAGTGGACTTGTGAAGGGCTGTAATGATGATGATGATGACGAGAAAATTAAATTATGCGTTTAATATTAGCATATAACTCATAATACGTCTACCTATGAAATT